GATCAAATAAAGTTTTAATAACAGATTTTGGTGCTCACTCTCCAGAGAGAGTCAAATACATTTAGGGAACTAATTATTTCAATTTTGAATAGTACAAGGGATGATTAGACCCCCGTGAAATTTAATTGTATAGCGTTGAGGGCATTTAATCATTTTCTCTTTGAAACAGAGAATATATATCATTACGGATCTAATCTCCAAAAGATGAAGAGTGAGTAAACCCTGAATAATTTGCGACATTTAATACGTTGTTTACTTTAATTAATGGACTTATAATAATAAGTTGGAAAGGACCGAAAAAGTTTAATATATATTGCATGGTGAATTTGTACCTTCATGAATTTATTTAAAAGTATACTTTTTATAGGCATTTGTGATGGTGATGATGTTATAAGTATATTTCTCAATAATTAGCATTATACGTGTAAGAAGTGGTTAGAAAAAGGAGGTACCTAGATGAATGAGCACACAATAGCGTATACTATATTACTCGAATTTGATATATATGTGTAATGCATATTAAAAGAACCCTAGTAAAAGTAGACCAAAAATATTGAATAGACGAGAGAGTACATATACCAAATAAGATAGATGTGTATTATCAAAGATTAGATTAATACAACATAGCCAATCGTGAAATTTCGATACAAGACTCGACTACACACGATTTTAAAAGAAACACAGGAAAACAGAAAGTAACAACTGATATAATATAATCAATCGTCAAATTTCGAAACAAGACTCGAGTACATACGATTTTAAACGAAACACAGAAAAAAGAGAAAGTGACAACTGATACAACATAGAAAGAAAGGATCCATAAGCAAGATCAATGCTATCTATCTTATTCTTAATTCTCCTCATGAAACCAAATTCTGATGATCAGCTTTACTGAACTCTGCATTGATAATGAACAAAACCAACATTAATAATAATAATGATGATAACAAAAACATAATGTACTAACTATAATAGTATTTTTTTTATTATATAATTACATATATAAATATTTTGAAACTAATATTTCTTAACAGTAAAATATAAATAAAAAATGCACTTATTTTTTGAGAAAACCAAACACACTTGTAGGTGCTAGCACATATCATTTTTTTGTTACTTTATTTTTCATACTACGAAGAGTTAGGTGTTGTTATAGGTAAAAAAAGATGAAAAATTTAACATACTTAGAGCAGTCAGTAGAGGGGCTGATCTTGTAAGGGATGTTGACACTACAAGTGTTAGGGAGAGCAGCAGCTTTGCCCAAATTGAGTCCTGTAAAAGAAGAAGCAGCTGATTTTAGGCAAGTGCATGCGGCCTGTCGGTCTACTGTAGTCTTGGCTTGACCCAAAAGACCCTTAACACCATCACAACAGTTTCTGAGAGGACCGCGGTTCATTAGATAAGGGAGACAAGGAGCCAAGGTAGATGTAACTTGACCACAAGTTAAAGCCTCTGCATGGGGTGCAACCACTACCATGCATAAAAGCACAAAGCATGCAATCTTGTTAACCATTTCCATTCTTAATGATTTATGAAAATTAGAATAGTAATTATGAGGTTTATGAGGAAGTAGTGGATGAGAAGAAATGTGTTTTGGTTGAGTGTTTTTATAGAGGGAAATTTGGAGTAGATGGCCAATGGAGGAGTGAGAGAGGTAGTTGGTTGTTAGGTTGAAAATTTAAAGCATTTTTATGGTTGTACATTATTTTGCTGGCTCTAAAGTCATGTGGTAGCTAGTTCTAACATCTTACGTGTAGGAGTTTTTTTTTCTCACCAAAGTTCCCATAAATAGATTCCTCGATCAATGTAGGACTTTTACCTACTTTAATATCCCTTTTTTTACGTAGATCCAATTGAGATGTGGATCGAAAATTCAAACAGGAATGAATATAACTCTAATATCATGTTAAGATATGTTTTTTAGATCTAATTTAATAATAAATGCTAGCTTATGAGAGGAGTATTGTCCACATCCTTATAAGTAAATCATCAGTTTATTTCCTGATTAACGTGAGACTTTTACCTACTCTAACAGTTTGATCGAAGATTTTTTTTAAAAAAAAATTATGAAGTTATAGAGTTAAAGATGAAATTGTATTGGATAATACTTTTACGAAAGAATAAAAATGATGTGATTATAGCTTTAAAAATAAAAAAAATAATTAAGATTTTAAATACAACTTCAAGTTAAATATTTTACGACCATAAATTTAAATTTGGGAAGTGACGAAGTTTATTTTACTTCTGGCGTTCTTAGCTGGATTACAACAACGTTTAATTAATCAAGGTCTTCATTAGTGTTTAGACACTTAACCACCCAAGTCTTTAATGCTTTTTCTACTTACCAGCTTTATCTCTTAAAAATTGATACAAAATGACTACGTATTATATTTTATAAAGTTGAAAATGTGTTCCATTTTCTTTTTCAAAATTATCCTTAACACGTTCCTTATTAAATGTATACATTTAGAAATAATCATATCAATACACGATCAATAGTTATAACGTATACTTGTTTCTTAGTATTTCTTAACCCTTTAATCACCAAAGATGACGGTGGTTTTATAAATAGGCATTTCATTAATATAGATTTTGAGTTTAAATCATATTAATTATAAAGTCATATTAGTCATTTTTTTATGGTACCAACACTACAATTAATTACCGCTACAATATGCATTTTTAGCGGGAATTTAACACTCTTTATATATGTTTCTAAAGTCTTTAGCGACATTGATTTTAACGACATTTAACTAATGCAGGTAAAGACTTTAACACTCTTTGTTAATGTCAGCATTTATTACCGTCAAAAGCTGTTTTTGTGGTAGTGCAATTTAGGATAAAAAGTCTTACATCGATCAAATACATGAAAGATACTTTTCGTTTTTTAAGAGTCAAACAATTTAAGTTTGACTAGTAATTTACACACGGAATTTTCTTTTTATTGAAATGAAATGTATATATATACTTATAAACTACGTAAAAGTATTATAAGTCATAATTCAAAATATTTTTAAAATGTATAAAAAATTTACGATTAAAATAGATTTGTTTGAATCTCGATATTCAAAAAGTGTCACATAAAATGAGACGAATGGAATATATATATAATACGTTAGTGATGCGTTATAAAATTATATGGGCTTAAATCTAAAATGGACAATATTACTAATGACTTGAACCTTTAAAAATGATATCTGTTCAACTCATGTGTCATCTTTATTGATATATATGGACCAAAGCTCTACATATAGGCAAAATCTCATGTGGTGGAGTAAACCACTGCGTCTATATAAGAGGAGGTGCATGTGAAACCCCAGATAAAAAGTGTAACATCAACAAAATCAATTGATGAAAACATAAATTATATAAATAAGCAAATTTTACATTTTAATGACATATTTTAAAATCGCGCAGACCTAGATTTAACTAGATTCAGGTAGGAAAAAAGAAACAGAACCTGACACTTTGACGTTTCTTATATGTTGCACAAAGTGTTGATTGCTAATTGGACCACGAATTCAGCTATATTATTACATGCTTTCTCTTGGTCCATGTAGTATAAATTTGTGTCGGTCCCAATATTAATTTGGTAGAAGTTGAGTAAAGATTTGAGCCACCCAAACTCATTAATTAGGCCAAACAAGAGGAAATTTCTTTGAGACATATAGTCTTACCTAGAGGCCTATAATTTGGTGTATAATGTGGGGATATGTTTCACATGTATGAGTATTATAAAGTTTATATAAGTTTTATATAAATGATTTTCTTTAAGATAATAAAATAATATTTACTGACCTTTCCAGATTGGATTATTTTTTGACCTATAATTTTAGGTTGATTTTCTCTGAGTTGTTTCATATATCAATTTTGACTATTTGTTTAAATAGTGTATTAATAATACGAGGTTGTGTATTGATTGGTGTGGTTCGATTTGAGAATTTATCAGTTTTATTTATTGATTATTGGTTTGTAATCATATTTTAACCGTTATTGAACAGTTAAAATATTAATTTATCGATTATTGGATTATTAGTTAGTGATCGCTATCGATTTGATTATTGGATTAACAGTTCAAACAATTCCCATTGAGAATTACTAATGGACTAATCACTCATTACAATACGCAGTAGTCAGTAGTCACTATGAACTTTCCCCGGTTAGTCTATCTACATAAAATACTTAATGAAACTCCATATTAATTCAAATAGAGATGTCAATATTGCCCAAACTAGCAAATTCAAAAGGATTTCTCATAACAACCAAGCCAATTTTGATATGAACTATAAAGAGAAACCATTACGACACTGCTAACAAAAATCATTAATGATCATGAGACTTACTAATAAAAGCTTTTTCGTTTGCAAATTCTAGCATAGGGCGATATACAGACATATCTCATTGACTCACTCACTGTAACTAGAAGATAAAAACAAACACTTAAAGTAAGGGAACCAACCATCTTAACCTCAATTTTAGACACTTAGAAAATGCTATTCAGTATAACTTTTTGGCGTGGGAGCAGTGACAGTGAATTAATGAGTGATGTCGCAACTCTAAAAATTCCTAAGGCCTTAAGTGATATAAATGTAAGATACTAAACTTGTTATTAGGTTATCACGACACTCAATTAGAAATATGGCTAAACCGAAATCCAAATCGGTAAGACGATGAAAAGTTTATAATAAATTGAGATTCGAACCGTTAAATTATTAATCTGAATCTTTGACCCAATAATAAAATATCAATCTCGATTTGATTTGATCAGCTCTATGGTGATATTTCAAATAAAAATCATGAAGTTAAATTAAAAATTGTTGTTTTTTTAAGTTGCCACCTAATGCATGGAAGAACTTGATTAAAAAAGTGTCACGACCCAAATCCGGGCCGCGACTGGCACCACACTTACCCTCCTATGTGAGCGAACCAACCAATCTAACCTTAACATTTCAATATAATATCAACAGAAAGTAATGCGGAAGACTTAAACTCATTAAATAAAGACCAATTCATTAACTTCTAAAATTCAACATCTATTATTCCCCAAAATCTGGAAGTCATCATCACAAGAACATCTACGATCAAACGACTAAACTAAGAGTATTCTAAAAGCTAAAAATACATAAGAAGCTAGTCCATGCAGGAAGTTCAAGGCATCAAGACTTGAAGAAGAAGATCCAGTCCAAGCTAGAAGCATTAGCTCACCCTGAATTTCCGATGTAGCAAGACTGA